AAGAAACATTGAACAAAATACTGAAAAAAACTGAGAGCTCAACAGGCCCCAGGTGAGGGATTCATTCATACATACGCTAAACCTTTACTGTGCGACTTAACCGCAATTTATTGCGCATTTTTAGCAGTTTTTAGCCAAAAACCTGGCCATACTCTGTTGGAAAACTTTTTGAATAGAAAACTATCCATTGCGCTCAAGAAAGACACATAAAGATAAATTTTCGTTCAAAATTGTCTTTATGTGTCTAAAAAAAGAATCACAAAAAAGGTTTTATGATTGCTGATTGCTGTAAAGTTCGGAAAAACCACAAATGTATGAAATATTGCTTGAATCTTTTTAAATCAGCAAATCACCCGCTTCAAGCCAAAAGAAAAAAATCACAAATTTATCTGTAAATATACAAAAGGTTTGATGGCTTTTTCTACGCCTGAAAAATTGAAAGCAGAATTCATGAAAAAGGCACGTTAAAAAATTAAAACGTTGAAACGTTAATCTTCAAACTAAGAACTCGTCGAAGAATTTCGTCTTTGTATTAATAATTGTTCGTGTATAGGTTTTGTTTGATCAATTTCGGAATCTCTCATGAAAGGAACGGCCTTTAGAAATAATTAGGGCTTTAGATTAAGGAAGACGTCCGCATCCTACAATATGGGTTGTTTCCCCAATATGTATTGTAACTGTCGAAAATGATCCGGATAAATTTTGCCATACATTTGATACTTTAGGCGTATTATAGGCGTAGGGATAATATTGAATTTCTTCAAGATCCCATTATATCGGGTGCTAATTTTCGAAGTAGCGACCGTCCTATCTATGAGCAAAATATTACTTTCACCGATTATCAACTATTTTTTTTCCAGACTAAACCCATGACCGTGTTAAGTGCAGTCATGATTTGGATAATTGCTACAGGGTGTGCGCTTCCAAACGCTTTTTTCGCCAGAATCACCCACGCGCCAATCAAGGGAAGAGAAAGGTACGTATTTATAATTAACTGCCGCAACTATTAATTAAATCATGGTGCTTACCTATTGATAATTGCAATACAATATGGGCCTATTTGCGAAAATTCCATACAAATGAGGGTTGGTTGTTTAATCGTATCAAATTCTACATAATTTGTGCCGGTTTGAATGAGGTACGAGCTTTTAATTAATATAAGGCTTGTATGTGTGTTATTGTGGGAAATTCAATTTTTCAACTCATCCTTCTGTTGCCATCTACTTAAATTAACAAGATAATTTGAAGATGTGTAACAGAATATGGGTGAGACTCCAATGTACAGGGTCTCATTGAGGTTGAGATGATGAGAGAAAATTATTTAAACAGTGTGGTTCCTTAATTTTACAATGTTCTCCTTCACACGCCTCACGTCTCAGTGGAAGAGAACATCTCGATCTTCATTGCTTCCGTAGCTCCTCCATTTCAGCAACGCCTTCTTCTTTTCTTCAACCAGTCTTTTTAATTCAGGAGTAAACCAGAGTGTTTGATTTGAGCCATCAGGTCTTATATTCACGTTCAAATATACAGAGTGTTTAAACATAATTCGAATATGCATTCGAATTTTTCAATTATGCAATAAATTTGCAATGATTTGATTCTTCTTCAATACATTTTTTTGCAAAAAGTCACACGAAAAGTATTTTCTCCCAAGAGGTAACAGATTGCAAGCTGTAACTTTCGTTTCGGTTGTTCGAAAGAAATCGATTTTATTTTTTTGAGTTGAAACTTTCATTATCTACTCAAATATATTTTCAAAGTTTTCAAACAATTAAATTATTAACTAAAAAAAGTATTTTTCTAATTTGAAGTCATAGTTTTTTACTCAAATTTAATTGGCATCTTTTTCAGCCTTTTGAAACCAACATTTTCACAGATAACTAAACAAATAAAGATTAATTTCAAAATAAAATTATCTACTGAAGCATCGCGAGCAAGCGAGATATTTCCAGTACTTGAATTTTTAACTTCAATTTGAACCGCCGATTTTAGAAAATAATTTTCATGACATGGAAAAACTAATTGCAATATAAAACACCCAAAACGTATTGTAGTCTGGGTTAATTTAACTTTTTCAGTTCCTTAATCAAAAAAATTGCCAAAATGTGTTTGTATAAGCCTTGAGTAAAAATTCACACGCCTCTGATTGCTCGCTTTTCACACGCATTCGCTTCTTCGATATAAACAATCTTCATTTATTGTCATTAATTGGCAATTTCGCAATCAACTTAGACATGAATTTATGAATGTGCACCGAAAAGTAAAATGTTTTGCAACATTCATCTGCCTCTTTGAAACTTTTGCTCAACTCGTTGCACCTAAATTAACATCATCAACTTTTCCTAATTGAGTAAATGTTGTTTCCGTTCAGTTAATTGCGCAATTGAAATGGAATAGCATCGTTTACCCGTATAATATTCTGTTTTATGTAGGCAACGGATGAAATAACTAATAAATCATTTCGTATAATTATTGTCGTAGTTCTTGTCGCAAATGATCGGCAAATTGCAAATTCCCACTTTTAACTTTCAGCATCTTGAATAGTTGCCAAGACAGGCGATAATTGAATTTTGTTTTAAAATCAATTACCTTTAAGGTGGGGAAATTTCCAATCGCGAGTTTGCTAAACTGTCGCACGACATAAAATGAAAGATTCTCTGTCGGTCATAAAATATTTAGCTGGATTTTCCTCTGACTGAATCAACCTTGGCCATTAAAGAGGAAATTGATCAATGTAAAATTCTGCAGAAAAACAACCGGATTCTTAAAAAATACTATTCAGTGGAAGATTTAATAACAAGAAAACTACATCAGTAAACTGCGCTTAAAGTATCTCAATTTATCTGCCAGTTTGTTTAGCACTTGTGGAGCAAAAACAACTTCACAGCGCTTATATTTGTTTTCATGAAATAATGCTGCATGTGCGAACTGCAACATTTTGCAAGTGAGAGGAGATGTAGAATTGTCAGAAACAGATGATCGCCCATATTCAGACTTTCCTGCTAAGGTTCAATTCGTTCCATGTCATGGAAACACTTCTAAAACATTTGAATATTTTCATAAGTTCACTTATGTTGAAAACTTTTATATTTTCCAACTTATGCCGCTTCTTATTTTTCTTCTGAGGTGGATTCTAGATCAATCAAATAAAACCCCATCATCCCTTTAGCGATGAAAAAATAGAAAACATTTATAAATCTTGCAATTCCATCAATTGCAACAGCTAATCCCCCAAAACCCATTTGATCTGGTACTCTTGCAGGAATAAATTTCGTTTCAATTTTGCTGAAAAACGCATTCATAACGTGAATAACCGTTTGATTCAAATTGCATAGTCGATATTATCTGAATCTATCTGTATGCCTTTATAAATTAAATGGACAATGTTGTAGCAAACCGTTGCATCAACTTGACGAATGATGCACAATCAATTCGATGTTTAGTTTCGCACTTGAACAGGCACATGGCGATTGACTAATGCAGACATAACTTACCTAATTTGTCCATCAGAGTGTAGTTAACCCAATTGGAAATAAATGAGGAACAAGATTTAATAGTCAACAAAGAAGTTTGTGTGATGATTTTGGGCAGCTTTGAGGAATGCAGATAGGATTCTTTGAAGATTATTGTCGCTTTCTGCTATTAATTCGTCCTACTGCTTAGACGGCGATTTTTTTGTACATTTTGATCATTAGAAGCGAGAATAATGTTAAGCTCAATCTATTTAGGCCGGATTGCAGATGACGCTTCTGCTGGTAAATTCAGCATGCCTTCCCGTCTAATAAGTTGACAAAGAGTAAATATTGCGTCGCAGGTGGAGTGATTCATCCTAAAGTCGAAGCAAGGAAGTTTTACAGTCTTAAATATTGCACTCAATCATTCTCATAATTTGCGAATTCAAAATACTCCGAACCGTCGCTAAACGCCACGTGCTCTGACTAAATGTGCACTCAGGGCAGCTTAATAGAGTGGCAGGCAGCAACAAAAACACTGATTTTTGCGTCTTTGACGAATTGTTTCACAGCAAACTGAACTGATTTTTTAAGGAACCGCATTGAATTAGAGAGTGAACGTGGAAATATGCCTGATTGGAAATGCACTTTGATTTCTTTTGGGAATTTTTCAGTGTGCTAAAGCTGAAAAAATTATTTTTTTATTTGCAGGAACGAAACCATCCCTTTCTGTTTTCCCTATCCAGATATTCCCAACTACGAAAAGTACAGTGTGGTGGTCAAATCATTAATTTACTACATTATTCCGCTAATGGTAATTGCATGTTTCTACGTCTTGATGGCAATTCGACTGCATACAAGTGCGAATGAAATGCCGGGAGAAATACGAGGAGCACAGGGAATTTCTCAGGCTAAAGCGCGAAAACACGTCGCCCGTATGGTTCTCATTTTTGTTTTCCGTAAGTATAAGCTTTAGAAAGTTGTAGAACTTTTCTTGTCGGATGGACTTTTTCCTTCATTGTTTCAACCGTTCTCTCATTTTTTAGCATTTAGACTATGCAAACGTTCTGTTATTTTTCGTATAAAAACCTTCTCGAGACGTTTGCCTAACAGAAACTTCCAATTAGAAAAACTCTTTTGTATAAATAAGGACTCGGCAACCTAGTCGGATGAAATAAGTAGAAAAATCGCCCGGAAATCAACCAAAGGAACGCGCCCGTAATAAAACCAAAAGGAGCGTTCCATTATAACGTTAGTAAGCAACTAGTTTGAATATTTTCTGGCAAGACAATGGAAGCAATTTATAACAAAAAGATTTACGATAAAATGCTCTTGCTTTAGCGGTAGTTGAAGTATTTCGAGCAGCAAAACAAACTTTTCTGGTGACTACAGAGGAGTAAAACTCTATTCAATGACTTCAAGAATTTTTTTGGAAAATGACTAAAAATTGACCAAAATATCAACATATATATTATAGGCCTGAATATACATATATTAAATATAAATATATATAAATACACATATAAAAAACCATGTTTTTTGTCCGCTCATGTTTCCACTTTCGACTTAAAATTGAATCAGTAACAGAACACCCTGTGTAAAATATAGCGACTTGCTTCCCATTCAATATTGCAAAACTGCCTTTTATCCCTTGCCAAATACGTTATTTTGCGAGCCAGAAACAAGAAAAATAACGACAAAAATAAGCAAAAAAACAATATTCAATAGATTTTTGTACACACCTGTGAAAAATGCCCCGTATTCATGAATCAATCGAAAACTCTGAATCATATAACGACAGACAACAAAGAGATTATTAATTAGGACTGAAACCTCTTCAGTTGAGAAACTCAATCAAATTGATCGCGACACTTTGTACGTTAAGTTGACTGGGAAATACTAGAAGGAAACTCAATTCTGCTTGCTATAATTGGATGTAGGTTCAGCTCTTACACTATTTCATTGATTCCGGCAAGTTTTGGAGTTTCGATTTGAAGTTGGATGGAAATCTTAGGTATGTAAATTTTCATCCTCAAACTTCACAATCTGAATGGGGTGTTGAATGCATTGCATTTAACCGCTGAAAAGTACTTGAGAAACGCTTTACACTTACGCGAAAGAATACAGTTTTGCTTTGCCAAAAGCTTCAAGGTGGTATTTTTTGTTAAATTTCGAATTCCAAGAATTGCAAAAACCAGCCTGTAAAAAAACCTTCTCAAATCAAGACTAAATCCTCAATTAATTTAGTAGTAAAAGTTTCAGCTCAGCTTGATTAAGGGTTTCCAATAAGTGCATTTTCTCGTTCCACCCCAATACAATCAGTGAAAACCCTACTCTAATGTCTTAATGTTGCCATTTCCTTATTTGTGTGTCTATAGCTTTCCAAAGTTGTTTTTCTAATAATCTGTCTGCATTATTCATCCTTTTCGGCTATATTTGAGTAGCGATTTAGTTGGAACGGTCAATTCCAGGCATTCAAGACAAACAAAAATATATTAAGTCAGGATTGGAAAAAATTGTCTTGCTTTTGTATGTTCAGTCGGCGAAGCCTGATTATTGGATGTTTTGCCTGAAATATTTGAGTTGTTTGAAAAGACAGAGTTTCCGGGATTTGCATTCAGGTACTATTAGGTTATTGAGGAAAAAACAGAAGGATTTTTCACTTTTCTGGCACTTGGGAAAAAATTGCTTTGTTCTTGTCTGCAAAGCCTGTTTGGTATTTTGCCTCAAAATTTTGTGTTGTTTGAAAAGAGCGAATTTTCGGCTTGTATTTAGCTAATATTAATTTATTAAGGAAAAACAGAAGCATTTTGAACTATTCTGGTTCTTCTAAAAAACTGTCTTGCTTTTGTATTGTTATGTCTCTAAAACCGGGTTATTGCGTATTTTGCCTCAAAATTTTGTGTTTGAAAATACGGAGTTTTCAGGTTTTGTATTCAGCTACTATTTGTTAATGCGGAAAAAACGGAAATATTTTTATCTTTTCCTTGTTCTTGTCTGCAAAACCTGTTGCGTATTTTGCCTCAAATTTTTGTGTTGTTTGAAAAGAGCGAATTTTCTGCTTGTATTCAGCTAATATTAGTTTATTGAGAAAAAACAGAAGCATTTTAAACTATTCTGGTTTTTCTAAAAACCTGTCTTGCTTTTGTATATTCTGTCTCCAAAACCTGGTCATTGCGTATTTGCCTTAAAATTTTGTGTTTGAAAATACGGAGTTTTTAGGTTTTGCATTCAGCTACTATTCGTTTTTGGGGAAAAAACGGAAGGATTTTTATCTTTTCCTTGTTCTTGTCTGCAAAACCTGTTGCGTATTTTGCCTCAAAATTTTGTGTTGTTAGAAAAGAGCGAATTTTCGGCTGCTATTTTAACTTTTCTGGCACGTATAAAAAATTGAATTATTCTAGGTGTTTTGTTTGCAAAACCTATTTGTTGGGTTTTCTCCCTTAAAATTCTGTGTGTTTTGAAAAGACAAGCGCTTCTTATTTTTTAAAGCTCAAGCTAAAACAGGCGAAAAAGTTAAATTGTTTCCAATCGTCCTGAGGATCACGTTCGGATCTTCAGCTAATAAGAAAAAGTTAGAAACGTTAAACATTAAAAGGTTTTGAATACATATTACCATTTTATCTGATCTTTGTCAGATTCTAATTAAGTCGAGAGTCGCTAGATTAAGCTAAGAGTCGATTCGATTGGTAACTTTTTCATTTCAAATGAAAACATTTTTCTTTTGTGTTTCATTTCATTCAAAAAAAATTCGCCTTAAGTCAAAAAATCGCAAGTATCTTAATTATCCACTTCAGAGAAAAATTCCAAATAGTACATTTTCTGTGCAGTAACTCCCCCTCTATTCAGTCGTGTGTTTTTAGTTTTTTAGTTATATCGGTTTCGTTTTTTAAGCGTCGCTTGAAGCGAAATACTCAACAAAAACTATTTGAAAAATGAATCCACTTCATATCACATTTATATAATTTTTATAATATATGTATTATGTAATTTATATTCGGCCAACTACTGATAATAATGATACAATTATTTCAGTGTTTTTTCTATGTTTGCTTCCGTATCATGTGTTCATGTTATGGTTCAATCTCTCCCCAAATGCCAGGAAGGAATATAACGAATGGTGGCATGCAATAAAGATAGTTGGATTCTGTTTGAGGTAAGTGACTAGTACTAATTGGATTCAGTTATCCATCTAATTGCACTTGACCTCTACCAAGCAAAATTAATTAATGTGTGTGTATTAGTGTTATTCACTGAGCGAATAATTGCCATTTGGACTCGGTGATTGAGACGATTAAAAATCTCCTAGGCGAATAAGTGATCAAGTTTTAAGATCGGCTCTAAATTAAAGAAAGTCTAGGTGGTTTAGCGTTTGGATAAAGGAAAAAGCTCTCACACAATGAGGGATGTTAAATATTTCACTTTGGCTGATTTGGAGCGCCCTTTGTATTGTTGCGCACACTATTAAAAGTAATATACGACGGTTGAAAAACGGTCGAAAAGAAACAAATGGAATCAGTGAAGCAGAAGGTGCCGTTCTATCCGAAATGAAAGCTCTTTCCTAATGCTGAAAGTGTCTTTTTGGTTTTATGAATAATTACGAATGTCGAACCGGAGTTCGTCGCGCAACGTATTTGCCGGATGTCTGGCGGATAAATTTATGCAAACAAATATGAATTTGGATAATTAAAAAATCCATATTAATTAACGCATTTTTTCTCGTCCTAGTTTCCTCAATTCCTGCGTTAATCCCGTGGCTCTTTACTGTGTGAGCGGAGTGTTCAGGGCCCATTTCAACCGATATCTTCTATGCAGGGAACCGCGATGGCCTAGAAACACTTTTTCAGGCAACTGCGAGACAAGTTTTAACTCGACTATTCGACGACATACTCAGGTAATAGTTGTCTATTTATTCAAAGTTTCTTGGGTAGATTATGGAAAATGTAAATATGAGTTTGCCTCAACTCCACATAAGCTTATTAGGGGCTCAAGTGAATAGAAACTTCGCAGTCGCGTAAATACTAGTAATAGCTAAGAAGTTTAGGGAAAACTGGATTGTTTTTGAAGCTGCAGTTTTATGGCGGGGATTTTGAAAGTAGGTAGTCGAAGGGTTCCTTCGGGCTCTTTTGCAAGTAAGTAGTTGGTTGCTTAGTGCAACGGTTTTTTATTGCAGCAAAAAATATTTTATGCGTTTAGAAAATCGTCTCTTTAGCATCTTTAACTGTTTTTTACAAACTTCTTTTTGGGTATTTCGCCTCAAAAATTTTTGTCTTTTAAAAAGACAGAATTTCCTCACGTCTTTTATTACAGATTGATAAATAGTGCTCCCATTTCTATATTTTTTATTATATTTTAAATCCCATACTATTTATCAATCTGTAATAAAAGACGTGAGGAAATTCTGTCTTTTTTAAAGACAAACATTTTTGAGGCGAAATACCCAAAAAGAAGTTTGTAAAAAATGAATCCGCCTCAACAATATAGAACTTATCTACATCTTTAACTGTAGTATGCTGTTTTTGTAGAATACGGCTGTGGACAACACGAGCCTCTACCGAAAAGACCCAGCGGTAGCCAAATACTTCGAGGAGAGTGCAAAAAAAATCGAATCTCAACTTATCTAGAACAGTTCCGAATGCAAATTCCAGACTGGCAATGGTAAAAAGTCTTGTATTTGAGGAGAGCACAATTTAAGAATAAAATATTTATTGACCACTTGAAACACGTTAATTTAGTGGAGATACTCCAACAATCAGCTTGGCATTTCCTCGCTTTATGTGATGTGGAATCTTCTTTGGCACCATCCTATAAAAAATTGTTTAATTTTCATTAAAATTGCTGCAAAAACGAGTGTTGAGTTGAATTGATGACAATCTTTGTTCTTAATGCGTCATTGGAATAGAATCCAGGCAAATAAATGTGTAGCTTTTTTTTAATGCGCATCGTTTGAGCTTGAATGTAGGCAGACAAAGGGATTATTTTCAAAAATTATTAAATGTGGGTTTTCTAGCATATGTGGTTTTTTTCTAGCGCCATAAAAGCTGTTTCCCCAGGACATGAATTTATTCGAATTGATGGAAAACTTACGTTATGCAATCCAAAATAGGGCAGACGGACAAACAAAGCGTACACCCAGTACAGTCGTCATTCACGTGCGGAATATGGCTGTTTGCATCGAATTCTATTGCTTGATATCCGGAATCGTTGCAAGCCATGTAGCATTTTCCACAGTTTATGCACATATCCTGAAATAATTTTATTGAAAAAAACTTGGCAAATCGATCTATTTCTCGTTTAAAAATGGATTAAACGAGGAAAAGCGCTTGCACGAAACGGAAATTTTAGTTTGTCAAATATTACTCTAAGTTCTCCACGAAGTTCGGAGTCTCAACAAACCCTTCTATTCTCAAGTGATTTTTGAAAAAAGCGAAAAATCTAAGATCAAATTCCATTTATATTCAAAGATACTTTTATGGTGGGACATAGTAAAATTATTAAAATTGGCTTAAAGAAAACCTGAAAACAAGGCTTTATTTCAATAATCCTCTATTATCTAGCAAAAATTGATTTTAATGTGCTCTTAATACGTTCTGGAAGCTTGAAAACTTCGCACTCTACTGGAAGAAAAAATTGCAGTGGAGGAGTTTTAACTGGTTTGTATTCAGTTGCTTTTACGTGCATTAATTGCTTCGGAGAAAAACAGGTGAAATTTTCGTTTTGAATGTACAAAATGTTTGAAAACAAGAAAATTTTCCAGTAGACTCCATTGCCAAAAGTATCAAATGTGAAATGACTTTGAAATGCAATTAGAAGCATGATGAAATATGAAATAAGTGGAAACTAAAGACGCACAATACAATTTTGCATAATGTAAATGGCAACCGTCCCTGAAACAATTTACAACCCAAATTATTCTCTCCATTTAAATAACATTTTGCGAGCGAGGGAGACTAAACTTGTTTGGCTCAAAGCTCAAGCTCTCCCATGTCACATCCCGACCTCTGTGTGATTGCGGAATCCAATCGGAACTCAAATTGTTTTTGATGAAACGTTTTACTCCCATACTGCACTAATGGAGTAAACGGGAAGTTGGTCAATGGAAAATTAGTAACTAAACGGTCTAAATTTGGATATTCACTAGCCGCATTTCAGCCAAGAAACAACTTAGGGGTCAAAGTCAATTAACAAATTTTCACGTGTTTAGATGTGCTGACTTTTTAGCTTTGAACTCTGCAAAAAGAAGAGGATTTTTGGATATTGATGTACTTACATCATCAATTAGAGCAACGACTTGCTTGGCATTATCCAGCTGTTTATATGCTCCGATGTAAGGAAGCGCCCTTCCGATTACACTCTCTACAGACAAAGGTTTAGCCACTGTTTCAGCGGTTGCATTATTGGGCGATGCGATGGCTTGATGATGCAGAAGTGCTTCGTCCGAAACGTTGTTTTCTTTGTAAAGTTTCGATAGGATCTCGGATCTTTGCTGTGCAAAACGACCAAAATGAGGCAGTTTCTGAAACAGAAAATCCATAGTTATATGGCATCAGAATCTGTACAAACAGCTAAAACGATTGAAAGTGTGCCTGAAAAACGCTGGGCTTTTGAATGCATGTTTCTTTAAATTTTCAAATCAGTGTTTTGTTTGCGCTCTCAGCGGAAAATTGAACTTACATTTCCTTGGCTATCATAAAGGGGCAAAACGGGTTTTCCTTTCTGCTGCTTTGCAGTTGGAGGACTTTGACCATCCCATCCAGGCAATCGGCCATCGAGGTAAAGCAGCGCTTTTAAGCCAGTAATATAATCTTCGACGACGGTGAAGTCTTGATTTTGAACAGCACTACAAACCTGGAAATTTGTGCAAAAAATTGGAAAAAACGAGCAAAAAACGGAATTGTTGCATTGTATTAAAAAATAGATTATTGAGTTAATTAAACTGTAAAATATATAAATAAACCGTTCAAAGATCGGTCGAAACCAGCCCTGAAAAGCGCAAGCGAATTTGTACAGATGATTCTATTTTCCCTCTTTCAGCATATGAAAACTTCCAGATGCTCCCGTTTTGAATATAAAGAAACACGAAATTTTTGGAGATCTTTGCACTAGACAATTATTTATAGACGGATTTCATTAATTGGGACAATTTCGTTTATAGAAACTCAAAAACTGGAAGTAAAACGTTTCTATCAAAAGAGATAGACTTTCGAGGCCATTCCTTGAAACTAATAAAAAATCCATTAGTTTTTAAAAAGTTTCTGAAAAGTGTAAATTTTCACCTGTACTGCCCGAGCACCAACTTGCAAAAATTCCAGAGCTGAATATGCCGAATCAATTCCTCCAACGCCCAAAATCGGAAAACCTGGAAGAGCTTGAGAGATTGCAGCGACTGCTCTTAGTCCCATTGGTCTTGTGGCATTTCCTGTAAAATTCAATTAGAAATGTTTGTTCCAAAAAAAATGCCTCAAAACCCACTTGTTTCAAAATGTCTTTAAGGCAAATGGGAGCATTTTCTCTTAGAACTACCGACGTTTATCATATAGAAATGGCTTTGTCTGAAGCAAAAAAATAATAGAACCACTTCAAACCAGTGGTTTTCTTGCCAGTAATTAAAACTATTAACTGCCAACTTTACAGTTTAACAATTAACTCCAAGACTCGAATTAACCAGTTCAATTGTTACCGTTTAGCCCTCAACCGCTGGTATGAAACGAAGTTCATTAAGAGCGACCCAAAATGTTATGAATATTTATGATAACCCTCAGTTTAATGTATCGTCTAAACTTGTAAAGTATTTTTGCCATTTTGGGGCCAACGAAATTTTGGATAGTTTTGAGTTATTGAATCTGTGACTGGAGCTAAATATAGAAGTGAATAGAAGGAATATTAAGAAGAATTACTGCATATTACTGATGAACAAAGCATGACAAAGTCTAGATTTATTTCAATTTTTAGGTCGTGGCCAGTTTTGCACTTTATTACTTTATATAAAAAAATTTAAAAGCTTTAATAATCAGAGAAACCTTACCTGAAACCCCTCCAAAAGTGGTTTTTTTCGCAGTTCCCACATGAGGCCAAGCTATGCCACTGGCATTGATTCCCATTAGTCCTGAGACGGTGTTAATGGCAGTTACCCCTGAAGCTCCGCCTTCTTTGGCTGCCCTCGCTATAGTCACTATATCCGTAATGTTTGGAGTCAGTTTGACGAAAAAGGGAATTTGAATGCTGTCCCGAACCCATCCGCAAATATCCCTAACCAGTTCTTCTTTCTAAAAACATGTTGGCTGTTAATCAAGAAAAACTGTACCTTAAGAAGTTACCTGACCACAAGCGAGCCCCATTCCAGATTCCCCCATTCCATGAGGGCAGCTCAAGTTCAGTTCCAGCATGTCAGCGCCGCTTTTTTCAGCTTTCCTCGACAGTTCCCTCCAATCCTCCTCGATATACGCGCACATAATCGAAGCGATGATGACCTAAACCGGTTCCAAACCCTCCATTTATCCTTCAGCCTCAGTTGTTGGCTTACCTTTGTCGGAAAGTCCTGCTTCAGCTCCTTGATCCCCTGCAACCAAAATTCGCAGTGTTTTTCCGAAATAACTTCGATGTTCAGAAATGAGCCTTGCTGGGGTCCATAATTTCGTCCCGATGTGGTGCCTCGTACTATTCTGGGACTAACGTTGGTCACTTCATCCTGACCAAAATTAAATGTTGTCGTTTCCCAGTTTTTTTTTCAGTTTTTTTCTACCTTGTCCAAGCAAAACGTTTTGGTTACAACAAAGCCCCATCCCTGCTGGAAACTGCGCCGGATCATAGCAGGAGTGGTGACAGGAGGTGCTGAGGCTAAACCGAAAGGGTTCTCGAACCGAACCCCACAAACCTCCACTGAAAGGTCCACTTCGTCTATTGGAGTGTGGAATAGCGGTAGCTGTGGAGTGCTTTCAGAGGATATGCCCTGGAACCACGTTTAACTTTGACTATTTGAGTATGCAAGTGAAAAGTCTACAAATTTTCTGGCTTCATATTGAAGCTGATACTGCACTAGATCTCAACAGGAACAAGTTTAAGTGGAAAAACCGCAAATTATTTAAGAAATTTTGGTAGTTCGAAGGAGCATGTGAGATTTTACAAACATGTTTTCTTGACTAATGAATGGACATTTTCACCCCTAAAGTTCTGTAAAAATATGCAGAAAATGATTCCAAATTGGGGTCCCAAAATTGCTTCAAGCGAGATTTATGAAGTTCACAAAAACTCGCAAAAAAACCCGCAAAAAACCAAAATTTTTGACGAAAAACCATTTTCCCTGCTTAACCGCTGCTTATACAGGTTGAACCAGTTTCCACAGCGGAAACTTTAAGGAACGATAGAGAATCGAAAAATATGAGTTTGCATTTTAAGCGATATTCGAAAAATGCTTCGTTAAGGAAAAAGTTTGGCTTAAAAAAATCAAATTTAATAATTGTTACCAGACGGCTGTGGATGTTTAAACGAAATTTTGCAGGCATAACTATTTTTCAATAAAAACCGTTTTTTTTGTTTTGTCAGTGTCCGGTTATGTAAGTTAATGGATGTTATTTAGGAAAAAATTATACGCCACTGCTTTTTCATCAAATCAAACTCACATTCGGATTCTTCACTCATTTTTGAAGATTAAGTTCATTTTTTTGTGCGCTTTCCAGCCAAAAATAAAAAATAATTAATAATAATTTCATGAAAATGGAATATAGTAAAGTCACAATCGTTGGTTGTATCACGACAAAAATTAAATAATGTTTCTGAAAGAAGTCAATTCAATACATTCTTAGCATTATCTAACCATATTTATTACAAATAGTTATTATGATTTTATAATGTTTTATTATTTTTAAATGAAAGCTGATTTATACAGATAAACTGAAAGAAAATTTCAAGTCTTGAAACTCGTTAAAACTGATTGCAGAAACTAAAAGTGGTTTTTATTTTACGAGAAAGTGGCGTATAACTTTTTCGCTTAAAAACAGCCATTAACGTGTTAGTACGTGGAAACAAAAAATGTGGTTTATATTGCAAAAGAAGGTTATTTAAAATGTGGTTTAATTATCCACAACTATTTGAAAACAATCAACAATTTTGATTTTTTACAGCCAAACTTAAACATCCTGTATTTCGTGAACAAAGCGTTTGTTTTTCGATTTTCTCACATTTCAGCTCTGGAAATTGAGTCACCGTGCAAACTTCAGAATCATCAGTTGAATCAACGAGAAAATACAGTCTTTGTATGACAACGCAAGCTCGAAAATTGGTAAAATTGATTGAAATAAACTGATAAATATTAAGAAAAACGCCGTATTTTAAGGTTTAAAGATGGATTCGGAAGGCGCAAAAGTAATGACAAATTTTGCATCCAAAAGTAACAGTTGCTGTAAAAATAGAGTGAACTAAAAACCAAATTTCTTACTTGTAAGGCACAATGAATAAACCAAGCGGCCGTTTTCCCATCATTTACAGATTCCACTGTAGTTTCAGCCACTCCTCCTATATCGCCCCCAATCCAGACCTTTGGATGTGAACTTTGCAAGGTTCTGGGATCCACCATCGGCAAATTAGAGCTGTTTAACATCAGCGGCCTCAAAGCTTCAATAGCTGCAAAACCACGGATGCAGAGTTTTTCGAATCAATAATTGCTCAGAAATCCTCACTATCCGAATCTTGCAGCTCTGAGCCAAAGGCCGAAATCACAAAATTGGCTTTCAGCGTTGTTAACTGCTCAGAGTCGGTGATCCATTGGCCATTTTCCAGCTGCTCACACCGAGCGAATGTGACTGAGGAAATCCGGGAGTTTTTCACGTTCACTTTGTGCGGACTTAAGAAGCCGACTAATTCGCAATGTTCCTCTACGGCAGCGGACACTTCTTCTGGGACAGCCCGGATGTTCTGGAAGCCCCTGAAATGGAAAAAATAAAATCCAACACCCAAGAGATTCATATTATGCTGCGCCAACCTGCGAAACACCACAAAGACTTTTCGGGCCCCACATCTTAAGGCAGAAGTGGCGCAATCAAAGGCAGTATCTCCAGCACCTAAAACCAGCACGGTTCCATGGAGGGAAGGAAGCGATGAGGTTCCACTAGAGCAGAAACCCTTTTTTGAGCAACGCGCCACCGATGGCAGGAAACTTTTGGAGGTGTAAAAGCCGCTGCTTTCATTGAGATCGGCGAAAATTGGGTTTACCTACACAGTGAAGATGTTGGTCGATCGAGATTTTTCTTCAAAGATGTGGTTTTTACCTTGGGAGTTGGCAATCCGATTGCAATAAACGCAGCATCAAACTCCTGAACTAGTCGTTGTACAGTGATATCAGCAGTTGAGAGGGATCTTTCGAATTCGACCTGAACCCCTAAGTCTCCAACCAAATTCGCCTCAAAGTCGACGACGTGTTGAGGTAGGCGATATTGGGGAATTTCCCATGTGCTGGAAAAAACAACTTTGCAATTAAGATATTGATTTAATGGGAGGTGAAGAACTGCGGTCGAATTGTTTAAAAGCACCTGGACTTGGACTTTTTCTTCAAAATTACCTCAATCCTCCTAAGACTTTTTGCTTCTCAAAAATGGTAATGTTGTCATATCCAAGTCGGCCCAAAAATGTTGCACAAGACAGTGAAGCAGGTCCTCCACCTACCAAGGCGATTTTTGCATCTGCCTGCTTCGGACGCTCCATTTTAGGGTTGCGAGTTTGAGGAATTCCCATTTTACTAAATACCTAGAAAACCAAACTGTGGTAGTAGCGGATTAGGAAAATTCTTCCGACTAAACCAAACTTTCAAGGAAGGTTCAGTAAGATACAGGGTGTCCCTTACACACATGAGCAAAGCGGTACATTCTTTGGCTCAAAAGAAGAATCAAGTTTTTTTTTTAATGTAAAACTCAAACTTTACTGGAAACTGGTGAATTCTTGAGTCTCTGGAAGCAAAATTTTTGAAACTTTTCATTTGGCATCTGGAATTCACTTAGTTTTCTGAGTTGATGATTGACCGGAATTCACAGTTTTTGCGCAAAAAACTTTGTCGTCTACCACGATATTTTCAGTTAATGTCCGAAATGTTAACAGAAATAGCAGACTTTTTGGATCAACGTTAGGTCAGAGCGTCTGCTTTTGAGCCAGAAAATGCTACAGTAAACTTCTGGTCATGTGCTCAGTATACTCAAAGTTCAAACTGGAAATTCTTGTGGCTTTTAGGCAGAAAATATTTTCCCCAATTGTAGCACATTTTCTGTTATCAGTTTTTATGAGTTTCCTGATGTTACTTACTTCTACAGCAAAATGTTGCAAGCCTCCAATATTAATCGGGCCTTCTTCGGTGGCGGCTAAATTGCATCCTCCAACACACAAGTCGCTGGTAGGACAAACCATTCCACAGGTAAGTCCCAAAGGATTGTCGCTTAGGATGGTTTTAGCTGCTCCATAAAAGTTTCCATTGGAAATTGAGGTGATGAAGGCCTTTAATTGAATTAGTAGCAGAGAAAATCAGGTAGTTCCTCTTAAAATCTACCTTGATGTCCAGTTGAGTTGGGCAGGATTTTTGGCATGGAGCATCCGCACATTTAAGGCATCGGGCCGCTTCTTTCAAGGCTCCCCGCTCAGAAAGCGTGGTCGGTTTGATGTCAGAAAAGTTATTTTCCAATGGCGAACATGTCTGAAATTAAAGTTCCTGGCGATTTTGCATAATTTTATATTTCATGGTTTTTACTTGGCACTTTTTATCAGCGTTTCTTTTCCAAAGAGCCTTGTTCTGTTTGGTGGCACTGGTAGGGACCAAAGTCGAGAATTTTCGCACTTTTGGGTTGAGCGCCAAAATATCCTGCAGACAATATCACGCCACTTATTATGGATTTATGTGATGTAGATAGATTTTAGTTCGTTGTCTTTAAGTAAATTGTTTCATAGCTTTTTAACTTCCCATAAAACTACCAGAAAATTATATTTTACTACTTATATTTCATTTTCTGCTGAAGCTTGCAGCTGGTATCTGACAAAAATCTGTGCTTTCGCAAAATAACAAATCAAACAAACGCGGCTTATTGTATTATTTCCCATTAAGATGTTGTTGGCCTTCAAAATAATGCACCTTTTTGCAGAATTGCATAGTTAATTATTCACATATGGGTGCATTCAAGTAGAAAATGAAACATTGAGGCAACTGCTTATTGTGAGCCGATAAATGCATGTTATTGTTAGTTAGTTAAAATTAGTTACCTCAATATCTGGTAAATCCGCACTAACTTTCGCCATGATAAAACACACTGGCTTCGATCACAACTATGTTCTTGAACTAAATGAAATTTACACGATGTCAAGCTACTAAGTACCAACAACCAGACATAAAATTCCTCTTATCAGAACTTGAGATAATGCAAACGATAATAGATAAATAAATGTTACTTGCTGCCTTGATCAAACTTAATGTATATTTGAGTTGAAAGTAGGTAATTATTCCATTAATCCCTAACTTAGGTACTTGTGCTGGCTGTATATTAACAGTATGGCTGACTTGAAGCATGCCACTCCTAGCAAGTGATTTATAGATTGTTAGCGTTTTTTTCCATAAAATTCTTAAAAAATATAAAAATCCAGAAAGTTAAATTTGCTGTACGAACAATAAACCTTGTGGCACTCTCCACTTGATAAGATAATTCCAATCAGCTAAATACCTATTTGGCAAAGTATAGTGAAATCGAGGCTGATTTAGTAATCGAAACTGGAAAATTGAAACTAAGTCACGTCGGTTTTGGTACTTTTCTATAGGCCTGGATAACACTGTGTTAGTTGCGCTATTGAGTTGTTGCCGCTCTCTGAGTTAACGAGTTATGACTCATCGGTTAATGAGTTATAATTCATTTGTTAGAGGTTTACGAGACCCAAAACTGGAATTTGCACATCTAAACAACGAGTTTTTTTTTAAAATTTATCTCTTTATTTTTTTGCATAAAAGATTCAGTTTACCACCATTTTACAGTAAAACGTTAGAAAAAATGCGGTTTTTCTGTTTAGAAATATTGACCTAAAAGTGAAGAAACCCCAGTTTTCAAGAATTTCCAAATAAATGATTTTAAACTTTCGCTTTTTCCGTTGGGGGAAATATTTTTAGAAAAAGTTTTATGGCTTTTTCCATAATTCGAAGCTGCAAAAAGTTTTCCCAACATTTTTGCAAAGCGGTTAAAGAGGCGAGTGTTCCAATAAAATAAATGAAATAATTTTTCACATAAGTATTTTAAGTCAAACTAAAAAATAATGCGATTTTTGCGTACAAAGAGTTGCTTATTAGAAACTTTGCTAAAACTGGAATGACCTGAAAATTTAAAGGAATTTCAGAAATCTTCAGAGCGATGAGGGCGGCGAATTTTCGCAATAATTTTTTGTAAACTTTTGCTCTGTGGTAGTTTTTTTAAGATGGTCCTAATTACTTTCGGTGAAAAACTGAATAAAACTATTTGCTTTTTGTGCCAAACTCGAAGCTAAAAAGAGTTTTCTAAAGTTCCCTGCAAACCGATGAATGGGACCAATTTTCTAGAAAAATTAATGTTGTTATTTTTGGCTGAAAAGACTCCATTGTCATATTGTCAACAAGGAAGACAATAATCAGAAAATAATGCTTTTTTACGTTTTGGATTAATAACTTCCAGTTTTGTGATCGGTTTTGGAGAAAACTGTAACGGTTTTAGTGAAAAAACGGGAGGATTTTATTTTCGTTTTTGTCTCGAATTTGACACTGAAAAACTTTTTGGAAATTTCTTACAAAGCTATGAATTTATCTTGTAATTTTTCGCGTAAAAGTCCTCCAGATCATCAGTATTTTTAAGTGAAACTCTACAAAGCGTTTTTGAGTAGAAAGAAAAGCAAAAAAATTAAGTCAATACTAAAAAACCTCATTTTTTATCAAATTCTACAGTCTTTAGAGGAATTGAGGTGACGAGATTTCCAAATAATCTGTTATAAACTTTCGCTTATTCTGTTCGTTTTTAGAAAGAAAATTGTTTGATTTTTACGAAGCGACGAAGGATTCGAAATTTGTGTCATAATTTTTCGCGGAAAATACCCTGAGATTGTCAGCATTTTTAAGTGAAACTTTAGAAAGTTGAGCATTTAGAAGAAAGAGTAACTTGGCTAAAACTGGAAAATTCTGAAATTTGAAGACATTTTAAAAATATTATTAATAAATGGCCTTTAAAA